AACTTAGAGAAAATTTCTAGGGAACTTGGAATTTTCTAAAATTATTCTAAATAAATAAAATATTAAAATTATTCCAAATAAAGAAACTATGAAACTATTAGAACTATAATAAGATAAATAAAATACTAAAAATAAAATGTTGGACTTACAATATTTATAAGCATTTATATTTTTGCAATAATTTGTAATAACAATTACACTAAAAATATTGTATTTATTTTCGTTGTTTAAAAATGGGATTGCGCGTTTAATACGTGACTCTTCTAAAATCATTGAGCAGAAAAAGAGATTCAAGTGATCACCAAATGTGGAGGAAGATCATAGGTAATTTGCGCTTTATTGCCAAACAGTACATCCTTAACGCGAGGGTGAAGCTAAACGAAGTGCAAGTAAATTGAGTTGAACGGACATTAAACATAAATTACGTATGTGAGTCTAACGACCTTGCCTAAAAATAAAATTTTAGATCCACAAGATCAATAAAATACTCTAAAGTACATTATTAATAGAATTACTCGGGAAATCTGTATTTAAATTAATTATAAAATTAATTACGATTATTTTTTTATAACATCAATATTTTATTATTCTATAAAGTGTTTATCCTATAATAAAGAATCTACTTATACTTAGTTTATCAATTTTTATAAATTCATTTTCAAAAGCACGTTCGAAAAAGAAAATATAATTCATATAATGTAAACTCATTTATCTATGGCAAAATAAAAAATAAAAATTTTAAATAAAAGTAAGAAATAAAATGTTAAAATGATATTAAATGCTGTAGTTAATAAATTATATTTTAATATTATAAAGATTAATAATTTTAAATTTATCTTAAAGTTAACGATAATTTTAATGTACAATATATTGTAAGTATCGAAATATAAAAATATACTGAAGAACAAAGGATATTAAGTAATCAAAGTATTTAAAAAATTAAAATATTAAGAAATTAAAATACTAAAAAAATCAGAATATTAAAGAATTAAAATATCAAAGAAATTAAAATATTAAGAAATTAAAATATTGGGAAAATTAGAATATTCATTATTCATCGTATTACAGAAATTAAATGATTATGAGATTAAAATATTAAGTATTTATGATATTACAGAAATTAGAATATTAAGAAATTAAAATATTAAAGAAATTCAAATATTAGGGAAATTAGAGTATTAAAAATTATAATATCGGAGTATCAAAAAATTATAGTATTAAAAATTACAATATTAAAGAAACAGAATGCTAAAATACTTATTTACTTTTACCGAAAAATACAAGCTCAGGTTTAATCACAAGCCGCTCCACGTCGAAATCAAACGAAGATCACAGTCACCCCTTGACACGAGGTAAATCGAAAACACCTCAAAGGAGAAAGGGCCACTGATAAAGCAAAATATCGTATGCGTCACACGGTCGACGAGGAACGATGAATATATTCGCGATAGCTTACTAACCCTTTCGATACATTCGAAGAACGGAAAGATGCGGTAGGTGTGACACATTAATCAGTGGCAGCCATCGACCGGGACTTGCCACCACCGAAGGCGGAGGCCAACCAAGAAACCGACCCCTTTCCTCCGTTGAATTTCAAGGGGATGGCCGGCTCCCTCGTGCATTAAACCACACCGTTATTGCTTTTTCCAAGAAACGCAGAGGCATTGTGCCGCCATTAAAGCTAAGATCGACCGCCCTATGTTCTCGTCGAGTACTCTTCCTAAGTGTTAAAACAGCTGACCTATTCTTTTGAATTATTATTTCCTCGTAATGACACTGTGAATCGAAATAATAAATCCGCGATAATGAACGGTCAAGATTAGATATTTTTTAATCCCACTGAATTATCACGATATTTATAATGTTTTCAAACAGAGTAGGGGTTTTGTATTAGAACAGTAATTAATTTGAAATTAGTTTAGTTTAATTGTCTAAAGATAATTTATCGAGTTCATGTAATTTTGTAAATTTTGTGACATTTATAAAATGTCTTTTCAGAAAACTGTGAGACATTAGTTGTCATCTAAAATGACATTTTTTCCCTTTTTTTCTTGAAAATTATTTATTAATTTCTTTGAATAAATATTATTATTTTCCTCTTTAGGAATCACCTATTACTTAATTTATATTGTAAGGAGAAATATAATATTTTTTGCAAATGATTTTTTAATTTGTTCATTTTTTATATAATATGGCAACAAAAATTTGTACGAGAAGAATGCTAAAATTGTGAGTAAATTTCTATGTTTAAAATTATTTTATAATACTCGTACATTTATTTTAATTATTAGCTTTTTAAATGAAAGAAAGATTGTTCTTATTTTTATATAATAAAAAGTTTATAAAATCAATGACTGTTATATTGCATTTATATAAATTAAATATTTTATTAAATATATAATAAATTCTGTAATTATGCGTTAGAGAAACACTTGATATATTCTTAATCGGTATATCGTGTTACGTTAAACGTTATTGGCAAAAATAATTTTAACTGGAAGTATGAAGTTTAAAATTTTCTATATCGCGGAGAATATTTATAAAATAGATTTATATTACATTTTGAAGTACAACTTTGAACGGTATTAATATGAGATAATGAAATTACGAGGTACACCGAGGAACTCGAAAATACCAATTACTTTTTACTTCAATAAAAAATTATTACTTTTTTGTTACTAAATTAAATTAAATTAAAAGTCAGAAGAAAATTAATTCCCGTTTGTTTTATTGTATATTTCATCCGTTTCTTTCACCACAACGTGGAACTACATTGACAAAGTAATGGAAGATATAAAACGATTATGCTAGTATCAAAATTACTCTTTCAATTTTCCCCTCACTCAAAACGTTCGAAATTTCGAAACAAATCATACGATATGACATGACTCGCCGTTCGATTATTTTCATAATCACCATTGTCACGCACCCTATCGGAATTTTGCAGCGATCGAGTTCGTTTTTACGCGAAACACAGGTGCTTTAATTCACTTCCGGTAGGCTAATACGATTTCCAGAAGGAAGACAAAGAGCAAACAGAAAAGGGGAGGAAGGAGGCGTAGGTATTTGAAGGTAAACGTAGAAAGGCGAGTTCAGAGCCGATAAATGGTTCCAAGTCAAGTCAAAGGAGGCTGGTCCAATTTAAATCGTAGTTTGTCCCTTAGTACCGGCTGCTAAGGCCAGCCATCGCTGAATGGATCTCCATTATGAATGGCCCCGTGAGATTTACATTCTGTCGTTCCACCGCAGCCACTCGTGGTTATATGTTATGGCAATTTGCCTCCTTCTCCCCTTAACGTTTCCTTCCTTTTCCTGATCAGGAAGAATCTTAAAATATCGAAGAAAATGGCGAATGTTGCCGCATATGTATGCTTTCATGAAAGTGACAAAAGCTTCGAGCATTTGTGCTGGTTCCATCAAATCTGGTAATAAAATTGCTTATTTACCTAGCTTTTATTTTCGAATCCCTTAGAATCTAGTGAATTTTTCAAAATTCCTTGATAAATAAATTTATGTTTTATTATGATATATTTTATTGTTTATCTTATTTATATTGTTTTATATATTATTTATGTTACTTTATATGTTAGGTTACCGTGTTATTCTATGATTCGAGTTCAATCATCGAATAAAGCAGAGTTGATCATGATTATTTTCACCTTACTCATGGATGTATATTGCGTCCCAAAATTCACGCAGGATTTGAATTTTGTGCCATTTGTGCGGTAAAGTGGTGCCAACGAAAGGAAAAAACATTATATCATCTAACAGTTCAGGGTTATTAAAAATGACACACTACATGAACAACACGTTTTCATTGTTGAGCAATATTTGCAATTTTTAATTAAAAACCTATGTTTCCTATCAAAATTACTTACAGTAAATCGTATAAATATTTTGATACACGTATAATTTGATATTTATATATTCAAAAGTAGGAGAATGGAATCTACGTGCATCCAAATATTCTTATAATCAGCTGTACCCATACGATAAATATAATTAATTAATTAAAATTAATTTAATTAGCGAATTAAATATTCTCTGAGGTATCTTCGTATAATTGTTTTATACAAAAATATAAATTACTTACTAATACCACTGAACTATAACATAAACTATTAAACTAAGCTATATATTACAACTAATACTACTAAAATACTATTTGAAATACCTTTTATTTATTTTTCATGCGATATACTTGCAAGAAAAATTGTAACTATTCATCATCACTACCATTTAACTATCTTTCCTTATTCCAATAATTTTATTATAAGATAGAATCTATAATAAAATGAATGTAGGATTGGAACGAATGTGGTTCTAAAAGAATGTTAAGTGTTGAGACGTAAAACACATAGTAGGAATCTCAATCGTCCCAGAATCCTTCTGGCAAAGAGTGCGCGAACTATGGGGTCGCCATAATATTAATCCCTTATTCTATTAATAAAGCTTATTTTGTTCTGTTAAGTATTGGAATATTATTCTAGTCGATCCCTCCCAAATTCGATCCCAAATAAATTAATTGAAAAATTAAATTGAAAGTCACTCAACGAAAGTACCAATTATTTTCACGATAGAATAACATAATAACATATTATGCACCAATATATGACATCAAGCTGAATTTCAATATTGAACCAAGCTAAACTATCAATTTTACACCAAACAAACAGAAAACTTGCCAAGAGGCTGTATCGTTATTTATAAATAAGTTGAAGGTATGCACGTCGCCCTCGCCGGTCAAAAACTGTAATTACTTGGTGGCGCGCTTATTAAAATTTTAATGAAAGGCACGGCTCGCTTGTTAACGTACGCGTTTCTGTAATCAGAGTACTCCGAATGAAATACGTATAATGAAATAAACAATAACTACTTTCAACTCTATGGAAAATGTATAACTCGCGTTTAAACAACAATAAGATAAGTTTACTGTTTCGAGATTAGTATATAACAGTTGAAACATTTGTTAATGTGATATTTCTCGGTTTATTTTGCAGTATATCCGTGACAGTTCTCGTGCTGAACGTTCACTTCCGGTCGCCACAGACTCACAAAATGTCTCCTTGGATGAAGAGGGTTTTTATCCATATTCTTCCACGCTTATTGGCTATGCGAAGGCCTCAGTATAAATTCGAAACAAATAGGTAAATATTTATTATTGTTCGTTTGTTAATTTCGAAGCTTGAAAAGCTCTCCAGTTATAAATACGAAATTAAATTGTATTTTTCATGCAACGATATTATGATATTTCAAAAAATTGGAAATATTGTTTTGGAAAATTTTAGAAGATAAAAAATATTTTACTGTTTCCTTCAGAATTTAATTTATGCACTCTGTGCTTCTATATATCTTTTGAGAAATTTGTCTACTAAAAGAAAATTCAAAAATCAATTGAATTTACTTTATATACTGGAATATATTATAATGATAATTAAATATTTATTTTCATAGAAATACTATCATAAAGTAATCAAAATTAATTCAATAATAATACTAAAACGTGCTTTCTACGGTAAACAGTTGTATTATACTGTAATCTATCTTTTAATCAAGAATTTTTATTTTTGAATAAATGGAGGAAATTAATGGAGAAAGGAAGAAATATTGTGAAATGAATTTCGTTATTTGAAATTATCTTTTTCTCACGTCGTTGATCGTACAAATTTTTCTTCGACTTTTCCAGATATAGTTCTGGCAGAGTATTAATGAGGACAGTCAGAGGAAAGGAGAAGACCTGTTATTATCCTTATCGTCCATCTACCCAAGAAGATAGCGAAGAACACCTAACGCCCAAACGATTTCATAGTCGTGCTGCATCGAAAGAAGACCTTTCACCTTCCAGGTATTGTCTGTCAATCTAAATTATTCTTAGACACTCTTATTTCTATTATTTCGAAATTATTCCCAAATTTATAATAACACGTGATAAATTTATAATCATTGAAAACGATAAATTTATTAAATTATAATAAATTTAAAATAAGACGTAAAATTATATAATATATTAAATATTTTTTGACAATGTTTTCAATTTTAATAAACTAAAGACAAAGTTAAAGCACGTATATATAACTTCGATTAAAATAATTAAAAATATATGTTAATACAGTAAAATAATAAAATTAATTAAAACAAATATTTTTGCAAACTCGGTGATAGGCATTTATGTCTGTATAATAATTATGCAATAATTATATGAAATAATTTGTAATATTGAGGGTACTTCCAATCATTACTGCGCGACTATGATGTAAATAGAATTCAAAATATATTAATGCAGTGAAATAATAATATTAATTAGAATAAATATTTTTATAAACTAGCTTATGCATTCCAAACATGTCGCGAAATTTTTACCAAGAAATATTTTACCAAAATACGATTATTTATAACAAGCTCAAAATTCTTTCGTTGCACATAATTATATAACTGTCCGAGACATAATATTTATGGTACCTCCAACCCTTATTGCACGATTATAATTACAGTGTAATGTTATGTGGACGATTCTCATTTTCCGGCGTTAATGTAAAATTCTATTTTGCTGGTATTTGTTTTATTATTTTGTGCTTTATACCCGCTGATTTTTACCCAAATACTCTGAAATAACCTGAAACTTTTAAAAGCTTTCGCATTACGTAGCTGGCAAAATGTACTACAATGTGTGTTTTTAATCTTTGTGGTCCGTTTTTTAATTTCGAGTTACTTTGTATTACTTTGTATTACTTCGATATTGAAATTGTAATACGTATATATTCTCTTCAAACTATGAATTAACGAGTGATTCCAATTTCTGTTCCTATTTTCCACCTAAATTTTCTCATTGCTATTTGTTCTATCTTCCATTCCATTATTTGCTATTTTTTCATTTTCATGATAAAAAGATAAGGTCTATGACACAATCATTTTTGAATATAGATTGTTTATTATTAAGTAGATCCATTAATTTCTACGAATTTCATTTTACGAAGCATAAATTAAACATATTCTAAAGTATAGTTAACCTTCTGTAACCAGAATATTGTTTGATATTAACCAGAAAGGGTTAAATAAAATAAAAGAGATTTTTCAACCTAATAAAGATCTAACGACGATCATCAGGCTATCGCAATCGCTCAAAATTTCGTGACGAATTACATTGCTTTTATCAGTCATAGACTAAAAGTGACGTTGCTTTAAGAATAGCAGAAGAATGGTTTTCACGTTTTAAGAAAGGAAATTTTCCCTAAATGATAAGTCACGCCCAAGGCGGCGACCATTTTGACGAAGAAGAGCTTTGACGAAGAGTGTCTAGAGCCCACGGCAATCTGCTCGCGAATCTACTGACGAGATGGATAGCTAAACTCAAACAGTGCCTAACTGTGCTGAGCCATTTTAACACTAGAACTATCGAAGTAGTCGTAATGATTGATGTCTGGTATTTTATTTTTGCATTTACCGAAAGCTTGCTACTACTTTTGACAAACTTAACGTTGACTTCTATTTGGATTGAAATGACATTATATGTCATGATCTATATCCATCGTACAATTTTAATTATTATCTGATTATAATGTAATATTTTCGTAAACAGTGAATTAGCTCTCTCTGCAACGCGATTACAATTATAATTCGTTCAACGTAAATCATTTTTAACGCGCAATTAACGGAGTAATTGACACCATGATGTATTAACGGTTGTTTAAAATGTAATTAACAAAATAATTGACGCAATGATGTATTATACCGAAGTGATATGGTATTATGAGACTTAGCTAACAAGATTATGCAACTTTACTTCGAAGTCCAGTTCGGACAGAGTTGGAGTAGCATAAAGAAACTTCTGTAACTTGTGTAAGATATTAAATTGAGCTTATAATGAAGATAATCAAGCATACACATCGACAACTCGATGCAACATATGCTGCGAAGTTTATGTTACCAAAATTATACTGCTTTAATAAAAATTATTATTTCATAGGAATATAATGTAATAATACCATTTATATTAACATAATAATCTAATAATATAATTTATAATATTATAATACTACATAAATATTATAATAATAATAATAAATTTACACATCGACAATCCGATGCAACATATGCTGCGAAGTTTATGTTACCAAAATTGTACTGCTTTAATAAAAATTATTATTTTAGAGTAATATAATGTAGTAATACCATTTATATTAACATAATAATTTAATAATTAATATCGCGTTTTTTAATATGAACAACGAATAACCACAAAATTTAGAAAACTGTATCATATATTTAAATTGCATTGAATATAAACATAACTCGTTAGCCTAAACTAAAAATATAAACGATATTATTAAATATGCATAAGAAATATTAATAAATATTTTTCACTTCGCAATTTCTTACTTGCGAATCACTTTTTCTGTCAAGAAAGACTATATATTGTATAATACAAATTTCATTGTATTTTTTTTCTCTCGAAAAATATGTATATATATATATATTTATTATATGCCACATATTTTTTAAAAAACAGTAATTCTTTATGGTACCAATATACATGTAGCAATAATATATAATTACGAAACCAAATTTTCATTTGATTCATTTTATTATTTATTATACCTATTAACACATTCACAGCCCCTTATGTAAATTCGCGCCATTTTGTGATCATCTTTTTAGTTGTCACTGATGTAAATTCACATCATTTTATATATCATTTATAATCTTCACAATTTTTTACAGACCTCATATTTTAAAATAGATTTTATATTTTATATTTTTCGAATAAAATATTCTCCTAATAGAATATTCATACCCTTTAAACTGACAGAAACTTCCAGTATCCGATTTTTGAACTTTCCTATTTTAACCGATTCTCAGTATTAAAAAGGTGAAAAAATTCCCGGCTGTGGATGTGTTAAATATTCTTAGCAAACAAAATAATTTTCAATTTTTGTAACTTCATTGCAATCTCATATTAAAACACAAACCACGTACCTACCAAATCAAAATACATTTTAATAATTTTATAGTAACTTATCCTTTCTAATTTTGGTATCAATATTCTTTTTTCAATAATTTGTTTCTCTACCATTCTACGGTATTACTATTTCTATAATTTTGCAAATTAACACTTTACTGACCGCTAGGGATTTAACGGCATACGCACATCCGACCAGCTGTTCAGCCGCAGATTCTCCCTGGCCCTCCCCATATAAAATTCCTCTCATATAAAAATATGGGAACTTACAAAGCAACGCAACTGACGCAACTGAGCAACGTACGTCAATACTAAATAACAATTTACTGTTCATATAATGATAATGACTATTGTAATAATAACGGCAACTAATTAATAGGCTATTGGTCGGTAAGCGTCTGCGACAAAAAGCCGATTAACACTAGAACTACCAACCCAGTCAAAATGACTGGTCCCAGAATTTTCCTTTTTGCAATCACCGAACACATACACCTGCTTTAAGAATAAAATTGGTATCAACTCATATTAACCCATTTACATCATGAGTTTATTAAAACTGTACTGTGTAAAACGATTGATACACAATGTTACATCGCAAACATCGCATTTTACATTTTTTTATGAAAAAGGAAAGAAACAAATATTATTTTATAAATAGAATATTCCGCGCTCGGTGACAGTAGAGAGCCGCGGGCTCGCGAAATATTCCGCTCTTGGCGATAGTAGACAGTCGCGGCTCGCGGAATATTCTGCGCTTAGATGCAAATGGGTTAAGTAATCAATATATTCACTCATATTCATTGTACCGCAGAAATTACTATAATCTGTGCACGTTATAGTTAGGTACCCATTAAATATCGGTAGTTCTGGTGTTAATAGATTATCGGTCGGTAAAGTGTTAAGTACATGGTACTCAAAAATTTCGAAACAATTCCCAATATCTACAATCTCGGTAAAATTTTCTCAGAGAATTTTCCGAAACGTATTTAAAGTGTAAGAAAATTCACATCTACTCACATCTACGTTACCTCGTTCGCGATTTAGCCTCGCTGATGGCGCAAGGTTTGGCGGAAGTTGCCTAATCCATGGACCACCGTTACCACCGCTGCCTCTTCACACGGAGTGCGAGGAACTCTCCGTGGCTGGCGAAGCAACGATCGAAGAGGTGAAAAGTCCGGTGCTACGAAGTCCGCCAGCTTTTTCCCATTCGCGCTGCCCCCCCGAAATCCACAAATCCTGCATTTGTGTGCGTTTCATCGCGGAACACACGAAAATGCTCGAAGACTCCACTAAGGTAATTTTATCCCCTCAGCTTGTTTAGGAGTTCATTCGATTAACTTGAATAACACAGACGCGAGGACAGGCGTACACTGAAACGCCAAAGTCTCGAATCTTCTCGCTAAATAATTTTATCGGGTGAAATATGCACGTTGGTCCGAAGTATTTGAGATAAGGTGATATGTGTAGCAAGAGAAAGGTCTCGATATTATATTAGCAATATTAATTAATAATTGGACGATATATAGAATATATTTAATTATCCCTTTGACTGTAGGGCGCTCTCGCACGGACCCACCAATACAGGGTGTGTTTACATGCATCGCGGCGAAGTTATTTCCTCTTGTTGTAGTAAAAACTAAATATTAAAATAAACTATACATCCTAGCGATGTGGGGACGATCCCTATCCCTGCGTATGTCTTTTGTCAGCGCGTGTCTTTTGTCTCCCGTTTTCTGAAGACGTCTTTTGACCTGCGTGACCCTAAACAGACAGGCCAGTTCTAACCGTTCACCCGTTTAATAAATATCTATACAGTTTTTCCACCGTTTCCATTAGCTACTATTTCTTTGTATTATAACCCTTTAATACGTCCAAAGGAACGCACAGAGTATTTTCAATACGTTAGGGTTTAGAGCTGATAATTTTGTGCGATAGCTAGTCTTGTTTGCCTGTTTCGTGTTTACTCTTTGACATTTTGATTCTTTCTAGTTCAATTTTGCTAGTCTCTGGTTCCTCTTCTTAACATGTTCAGGATGCACACTGATTGGTTATTTCGAGAAGTGTTAATTTTCTAATCAGCGGCATCCTAAGTGTCCTGGCGTTTTCCGATGTGTACTGATTGAGTTGTAACTTTCGTCTGATGTGGTGCCTTGGAGTTCTAACTAACGTCTCTCGTATGTACTAAATGAGTTCTAACTTTCGTCTTATCTTGTCGTGTTCTGTCTGATGTCTCCTGACGGTTCGTGTTGATTGGTTTTAGAGTGATCGTGGGTGGAGGAAAGATAGAATTTTTTATTGGACGGCGTGTTTTGGAAAGACCTTTGGTTTAGGAGTGGGAAAATGTCAGGGAAGTTTCCTTTTAGTATTGTCTTGGTTAAGATTCATACGTGGATGTCTGTTTAACGATTCGTTGGCTCAGTCACACGTGCGTCCCGTCTGTTAGATCTGGTCGTAGATAGTGTTGTCCGTAATCTTTGTCTTATAAGATATTTGGGTTATAATTCTTAATCCTCAAGGAGGACGGTAAGGCACGTATAACTTCCATTATTGCCGTCGCAACAAGTACGGCATACTGAGAGAAGGCATCCACTATGACAAACACACGGCTACCTACGTGCAACTAGTTTTTATCGTAATTTCGTGAATGAAATTTTAATTTTAATGTACAAGGAACTAACCCTATAATAACGAATATATAAAGTTCCGACTAAGGCCCATAGCGGTCACTGCCTGTGATCATAGGAGTGTCAGCGAACGTCGACACAGCTATCCAGGTGACGCGAGTGTCACGGTACGCGAATAATAACCAAATAAACCAAATTCCAACTTACCGCGGAAAGGAATGGTGAGATTTCTACCCAAAATCCCTGCTGCCGTTGTTCTCGCTGCACCGAGGGAGCCTTAGGAACCCTCGAAGAATACCACCAGTGCTCCTTGGTGGAACTCGTCTTCGAAGGGGAAGTGGTCCCACTCCGGTAACCCTCAACGACATTCCGCGGCGTCGCATTTCTCCGACCGCGGCTTCCTTGGCAACTGACAGCGTGGACTGCAGCCCATCCGGGTTGCAGGCGTCAAGGGGAGGGTGACGACTCCCTGCCAGAGCCAAAGTCTCGCAACTCCCTTGAGTTTCACGGGATTGTAAATCCCACGACGCGACCATGTGCGATGATATTCGCTTTAACCTCTTGCAGAACACGCGTTTAAGTTCCGATGGCGCGTGCCATAATCAACAGCAAGGTCGGTCACTCGTCGAGCCATTACGTGCGAACGCGGCGAAGAATAACACGCAACTGAAACCGAAAGGCATCGACGAAAATTAACCAGGAGCCTGGCCTTTGTTATTTACGTTGAGCTCTGTCTACAAGCCACGCCTCCCGATCTCGATACTTATGTTTGGCTCTATTTCCTGGCTACGAGTCTCGCGTAACGTTGTTGCTGAAGAGGTCAATGAACTTACCCATGCAGGACCGGTTGAAGTAGAGTGATTTCCTTGTTTGTCGAGTTTCGTAGTTGTGTCTAATTCCTTGTTTGGTTCTACACTTCTCTGTCGATCGGTGAATTCTGAACGTCTTGATTTGTCTTCGAAGTGTTTCTTTATTGGCTCCTCTTGTGTTGTAAGGAGATGAATTTTTGAATCTGAGGAGAAAATTTTTGTTAGTTGATAACTGTTTAAGAGATGGACGGTGGTCTATTCGTCGCGTGGAGCGCTTCTCAGGTCAGGTAAAGTCAAAGGGATAAGGGTGAGAGCTCTCTGCGTGCTGTTGCCAGTAGAGAAATTTATTGCGAGTCTGGCGCCCTGATTCTTTAGCGTGTTTTACTGTAACATGCCACAGGTTACGTGCTTTAAAATTAAGGAAACTGTAAACGCGGTATAGTAAGAAAAATTTAGGTGGCGTACGTATATGCCTTTCGTAGTCAAAGGGATGTAGATGCGCGTCGTGGTGGCGCTAGTGTGTTGAGTGGAGAATCGACTTAAAGCTGCCGTGGCAACGAAGGATGGGTTAACTTCGTATTGAAACTCCTTATGTTTCAATTAACCATGCTTTCGACTAGTATTATACCTCGTGTTCAAATATTTTTCTGATTCATTAGTGACGCATATTTGTACTACGGATATTGTACATGTGGTAGACCACGAAACCACAAATCGAGATCAGCTCGGATTGTTATTATACACTAGCGCCGCTGTGGAGATATTTATACAATTTATCATTCAGTGTCGTCTAAATAAATTCACGGATATTTATAATCATTATTTTTTTTTAAACAAAATTTTTGGTTTCCACAAATTTCCTATTGCATGAGGGTATTGGAATTGTTACTCGATCGAATACAAAATTTGCCGAAGTACAAAGGACCAAAGAATGTTACTATTTTATATAATATACCGAAAGTGTGGAAAAGCTATAGTTAAAACAAATACCAAATTATTACATAAGAGATATATTTCAGAATTTTTAAAACTTTAAAACTCACAGCAAGAATATTTGAAAAAAGAAAAACTTGCGAAAGATTATCGCACTTGCACTTGATACTTGTATGGAAAATATTCTATTAACAGTAGCATAATTCGTTGTGAGACCTAATATGAATAATTTGTGAAAAGGTGAAAGAAGACTGGAAATACATGGCAATGGTCTTAGACAGACTGTTCCTTTGGATCTTCACATTGGCGGTGCTGACTGGCACAGCTGCGATCATCTTGCAGGCACCTACCCTCTACGACGACCGAGTACCAATTGATAAAAAATTAAGCGAATTCACAACCACGACGGTAGTAAAGTACCCGCCACAATAGTCCATGCCCGAGCCCTGCACCGTAGATAAAGACTAAGGACCAACACCCGGATGTAATTTGCTACCAACCCGGATTCCCACCCTAGTCTTAGGAACTTCCAACTTCCATCATTGTTCAATAACGAAATTACGGTAAAAGGGCTCCATTCTCCAAAGCGATTGCAAAGTATACGACATGCACCGAGTTTCAGAAAGGAAAACAAAAGCGGGAACGACGAAAGTACGAGGAAATAACTATGTAAATTTTCTTTCAACTTCGCGACAAAATCTGATGTTGTTCCTAAAATGATAAAATTGGTACATAAATTGAATAAGAAGTAAGACATTAACATATTGACAGTCGGCCGCAATGTAATTTATTACCCACACTTTTGAGCATCTTCCGAGGAAGCGAATAAAACTGAATTGACCATGAAACTAGTGGCTTACTAATTTTCTTAAAATTTATCGGACATCTCATCTATCTCATCTCGATAGATAACCCCAAATTGAACTCGTATCGTCTTGAACACCTTAAGCGTCTCAAACGTAACTTTCTTACCGACCGAGTAACCGAGTAATTTCACCTTATCGGCTGTCGATATGGTAATGAAAAAGTAATAAACTTTTGAATATTTTAATTCTGTCTAATAAAAATTGTATAGAGAATACCAGACAGAACTGCTAGTCGAAAGAATGTATCCCTTGATGCTTACCTTGGTTTGATCGTTACCAAAGCAAACGAATGACTGCGGCGTATGTCGACTGTTCCAAAATCTCCATTCATTCCTAACCTCATTCGAGTGTTGCCACTTGCGAAAAGAAGATACGATTGACTCGGCGATACATCGCGAATAATTCTTAAAAAAAAAAAAAAAAAAAAGAAAAAAAGAATGAAACTTATATCTATATAGTCTGCTCAAGTAAATCGTAATACGAAGCTGCCACTACTTAAAATCGGGTTATCTTAAAACAACAAGCTAATTAACGGTACTGTAATAATAATTTAGCTAAGCCCATGGCGGCTCTGATCGAACTACCGGGATGCTCGGGAGAGTCGAGCAAAGGAGAGAAAAAAAGATGGAGTCTTTAGAAGGTTGATCGCAGTAAACACGATTGGTCCCGGACTAGAGGTTAAAAACTTTCACGAATAAACTGTCGTGCGGTCGCGTGTTTTATATATCCCGTTTACCCGACATGTTAAGAGAAATTATTCTAGGCATCACGATCGTAGGTAGCTCGTTGTACGACACGAATTTAACGTGTAACTTAACCTATAATCGATTAGTTTTAAACATTTAGGAACGTACCCGTTTGTACGATTGTAACTATAAGGGAAACGGAGGAAAGAAGAGCAACCGTTCGAATGTATGTATGTGCACCCAAATGTCGCTTGAGATTACACTTTAATATTTCATCCGTTAAGATATTTGTAGGAATTAGCGTAAATGTGTTTCGAATTTACCCCTTGATTCGTGGAAACGTAACACGGTGTATAATTTTGAAAGCTTTTTACAAGTGCATGGGAAACAGTGTAATTTCAAATCAGAGGTTAGGAAACTATTTCGTCTATCGTATGTAGTGTCGTATAATTGGTGGTACACTATGAAAGTGATCATTCTACATGACAAACTGAATCGAAAATGTACAATAAAATTTGTTAATATCTTTTTTTGAGAAAAATGCCTCTCAAAGATTATCGGGCGTGCACTTTATCGAACCTAACCTCAACGGATTTTACTGTAGATTATCTTTATTCGCGTTTATAAATATTCCTAATATTTGTACACGTGAAGTAACGAGGATACGTAATAAGAAAGAGAATTTACTTTCCAGTGATTTTTGTTATTTAGAAATTATTTTTCAAAATCCTGTCCATATCTTTCTGTACATAATTTTGTTCCTTTTATCAATAATACGTTTCTGTGAACGTTTTCTAAACTATTATTTTGCAGTTTTAATTTTTTAAATGTTACAATAATTTCTATCGTTTATTTGTATTTAATTATCTTTTAACTGTTCAATCTTGAAATAAAAATTTCATTACGCGAAAAGTAACAAATCGACCGCCATAAAAGAATACCTTGTCCACTTTGGATTTTTATATACGAAATCATATTAAATTTATAATATGTAGCGGTGACATACGAAAGATTGAATAATTAAAGAAAAATTATCCTAATGTTTGAAAATTTATAATTATTTAAAGAGAACTTATGAAACGTGCTTAAATGTAAATAAAGAGACAATTGTTTATGCATCAACGTGAATATTATCGAAACGATAATAATTTTTAATAAAACAAAATTTCTGTAAAATAAATATTTTATCTTATTACGTGTCCTCGTTATAATACTCAATTGATGTAAGATTTGTTCAAATGCACGTCGATGAACTATCACTCATTCTTCTTAAAAACAAATCACTGTATTTTCTCCTATATTTTCGATTTAGTTTATCCTACGCACGTAAACTGACCACTTTCTCGTATCACTAGCAAAATGCATTTATATATATTAAACATTACGTAATTTCTAACGAGGTATACTTCACACATAGTAGCAATCTACTTTTCAATAACATTTCTTCCATTCCTTTAAACCAATTTTAAATGATCGATAATTTTCTCGAACTAAATAGCGAGTAATTAAAATTATATTTTTCACGTAAATGTGTTGATAAAAGACATTGCTTGGAAAATGTTAGTACACTACTAGCGTATATTTTAAAACAAGTATAAATAAGTTTTATAACACTCGCCTAATGAACGTGTAGTTAGAAATGAAGAGTCATTTGCCTTCAAAGTACCAATGTTATATACCAATGAAAATTTATGGAAACGGATGATGACGCCACTGTTTTATGATACACAGGAGTGTTACGAAAATAAGCAATTAGGCATACCGACAAATAATTAACACGAAATGGTAGGAAGGGAAGCTACCCTTGTTAAATATCTTCATTTCGATACTGACTCACAGGCTAACCTAACATCGCACTATGATATAATATCCAGTCGACTATAATTGAATAATAATTTCTATTAATTATTCAACGCATCCAATCTCGAGGGACATTTTGTTGCACGCGTGTTATACTTCGCCTCTGTAAAAATATTGTATTTTGTAACAAGAGTGGAAAGTCGCGAGACAGTACGATAATAATAACCAATAGTTCTATAAGAAGAAGTAAAGCATACGAATTCTAAAGCTGATAGATGTAGCTGATTGAACAACCGTTAACGTCGTTGTTCAATTCCGTAGTACGTGGTTGATGTCACTGTGAGTTGTCTCGATTCTTTTCTTTCCTTTGACATTCGTTCATTTCCTCGCCGTTTTCTTTCCTTTTTCGTATAATCACGCGCTATGTATAAATATGTACCATCGCGGTTAAATGTTTGTTAGTTATGCCCCGTGCGAGCGGACTGATATTCGCAAGAATTGTAACTCAACGTCGAAGAATCTGCGATTCCTCGATCGACGCGAATTAGCTGCGAAACAGTGCTACCGATCGCAATGCCGAAAAGATAATAGTTGATTTCCGGCCTCGAATTCACGACTAATTTCCCAGAGCGAAGAGAGAAAAGCTTGCCGAAGAGAGATTCTTTGCCATCCGACTCGACGAATCTTTAATTCTTCGACGTTCCTTAGGCATATTCATAGCTGAGAATAATAATTTTGAACGCATCCAAGGTACGATGCCTTATGTCACGTTGGATTGTAAATACATTCGTAGGGTGAGAAGTATCGGTTCCGTACATACTGCCATTAGAAAAGCGTTGTTAGCGTGAAAGACGTTTCCGAATCGTCTATCGGTAAGCTCCGCGGTTTCTCCTCGATCGGTAACTACTTTTAGGTACACACATGTATGTATAAAGCTAAATGAAATTGGTGAATTCCAAGTTAAATGTCGACCAACGCGTAAATTGATAAATACAAGTAAAATTATTGGTACCGGGGGATGTAAATTAACGAAGGTATGGTTGCCGATTGATCGAGAGCCGATCTCGGAACACGTAGTGTCAGATGACAAGTTAAATGTATTTGCTACCTGATTGAAAAATCGTCCAGTGAACGCCGAACGCACGTTAGAACGAACACGGAAGGTATGATCTTTGAGGTTAGACCCGACCGGATGTTCCAGAAGCCACGATTCTCCCTTACGCAGAACGAACGAGACTATAAGAAGTTTACTTTGCACTAACACGATAGGGAAGAACGCACACATTTTCTATGATAGGAACAGTTATTTACGTGTTAACACTGTAATTAAGCATTTAGCGCGTGGACGCAGCTGTATTGGATCGTATTCCCGATCCCGCGAGCCATTAACCTCAAAGTCTCACTTTGACAATAGTAGATTATTCCATCGATAGTCGGCTATTGTTACACTGATATTTTAACAGTTGTTAACCTGTCGTGATAGTTGTTCAGTTACCGTTAATAACGAAGCGAGGCGATCGAGATAATTGTCCAAAATCGAAAGGCAAAAGACCCAAACGTTTTTGGAAAGGGAAGAGATGTGCGCGGTATATAGTTAGGAGTTAGCGAGATAGAACAGATACAGGTAATTTTAAGTTGTAAATAACGTGTACATAGCTAAACGTAACGTAAGCCAGAGGTTACAAAGCGATCAGAGTTTTTTTACTATTGCTGAAAACTGGGATCACGCGTTGCATGAGAGAATCCCATGACATCGTTTAAAGAGATCGCCGCGACGCGGCGCGACGGTCGATAGATTCGCGAATTAAACGTCATTTTGTTTACCAATGACAACGAACAGCTCGAGATAATTTCGTTCCTTTAAGTTGCTTTATAAAACGGGTGTGAATGTATGTTTCGTGCTATTTACATCCGATTCTTGAAACACGTACACTTTTACAATCGCATTTTCGCGCGAGATCGTTGAGAACCTAACCTCTCGACTAACCTCCAAAATTTAATCGTAAACGAGAGTTTCACCGTTCGTGCGTGACTTTAGTCGATGTTGAATTAACATTTTCCAACTTTTATACCCGAATTCGTCGATTTTAAGCAGAAACAGAATCCCTTACCGACATCGCACGACAATTCTCGTTGGAAACGCGAGACCACAACAGTTTGTTCAAACGTCGTAACCGTTTACTCGCGATTACTTCTGTATTTTAGTTCATTCGACGACGACGATTCACCTTTATAATATTTTCATTCACGCAACAAATATATATATAAATGTTAACGGGTCTCGTCTAACTATATAACCTTAGAATAAAAATCTCAATGCTGCAGACGATAACTTGCTAAAGCGATATAATTGGTTATCGTGGCCTTCGCCTGGAACTGTATTTGAAGTTTCTCCAGCGTGAGAAAGAGGGCGTTTCGCCGACGAATGGAAGAAAAATGGCGCGGATTCGAATCGTTCCTCGAAGCACAATTTATACAGGACTAAAGGAAATGTTCGGAGCGAAGAAATACGGGCGTGCTTGTTTGCCCGTGTGCTCGATCGATGTTTAAGCAAAATCCATATATTTCGAAAGCGATCGTTATGCGGGTGTTACCTAAAATACGAAAGGATTTCAGTGTCGAAACTCTGTAAATTTCGTGCATCGCTCAGCTTACCGGAATTCGAGATATTTCAATTACGATTTTTCCTTCGAAATTTTATTCTCGGCGATCAGATTACCGAGACGTATAAAACAAAATTGAACGATTTTACTAAATCTTTTATTTGTTGATATCTTATTTTTCCGTCAAAGTACCGATATTGTATCTCTTATTTTTGATAATTCTTTCTTGTTTTCCTGCATTTATCAGAGAATCGGTATCCATGAAAAGTAAGGATTCGGCGATGATAGGAAAAGGCTGATTCGCAAAGCGTGAAAGAACGTTTCCCCTGGAAGGCTTGGAAGCTTTTAATTAAATCGAGTATTGCGCTAAATGCCGAGGAATTAAACAAATCGAAGCTCATTAAAAGTATTATACCATCGTTAAGCGAACTGAAAACGTAATAAGCTTAAGAGGAGGTCGAACTTAAAGCAGGTTATACACGTATCTCCAGCGTAATGATATAGTACACCGTATATTGACACGAAGATGTTCAATTTTTCGTAATACCATGAAACAGATACATCGACATTCGACAAATTCAACGTATATACATTCCTCATTTACATCTCCTACTTCGTATGTACAGTGCCAAGTAAACGCGCGACAAGCCTGAATCGCATAATGACAATAAACGTTGAAGAACAACCAAACAATCAGTCATCGTGAAATCAGCTCTTTTCAATTGTTCCATTCACTCGCTAACACTCGACATGATATGTATGAGAATTTTTAATCATTTGCGATTCTGGCAGCGACAAAGATTTGAGGAGGTGCGATAAGAAAATGGAAGGAACGACGAAAGGAAAAAGGAGTTTGTCGCTTCCAGAATTGTCGAATTTATCTTTTTATCACTTCACATTGTGGGTTCAGTTATCCGAACTCATTTCGATCGACACCCGCCTCCCGATCTTTGACCACTTGACACGTTTTAAATGCGTAACTTAATAACAGGTAGCTTAAAAATTCCCATAATTGAGAAACATTAGCGACGTAGGCTAAGGATGAGTAAGATTATGGTTACATTATAACGATAATTATAGTAAACGAATGTACTGTATAGCAATAGTGCTATTTAAAATGAGAAAAATAACGAGCAGAAGAAATATGGGAGAAGATTATCCGAGTATTGACTACTATCGTTAGATACAACTACTATGTATATCGTTTGTTAAATATGTACCTATATGAATTATTGACGACCGTCGTTCTAAGACTACACGATGTAAGGACGAGATTCTTGTTGCTTGGTTTTGTAATCATGCTTGATAAAAGCATTCGAAGAATAAAACTTGTTGTCGTAGAAACCTGTTTCTGATTTATCTCTTGAAAATTCTTTCCCTGTGGTATTCTCCTATATCTCATGTCTGGCGTGCTGACATTTTCTTTTATCAACGATGTACAACTCTGTAGGATATTTTTAAGCATTATTAACCCTTTGCACTCGACGAGTTTTTGGCTAAAGAAGAGTAGGACTTCGAAGATTTTCTGCTGTAAAGTTGACGATACTTTTTGAGCAGTAAATAAAGAATAGTATAATAATTCACACGTACAATTATTTGATTTCGATACCTCGCATACCGTTACATTATCTTAAATTTGACATATTAATTAATACCGATCTTCGAAATTTTAACAAATGGCGACTGAAGAGCGCCTCACGAGTGCAAAGGGTTAAGGCACAATGGTCGAAATGTTCCTGTAGGGCATACTTCGCCAGGTTTAGAGGGCCCGTTAGAGTCTGGCTGCCAGATGGATCATAGGAGGTCGGGGCCAGGCCACGTGAGGCTTTCCCTGTCGTAAACCAAGAGTTACCCTTCGGAGAACCTAACCTGAAAGGAGGAGTCTCTTCTACCCCTGAGCTTTGCGTGGAGAGAGTTTTCTCCTCCTTCGGGGGAGGCCCTTGCCTTCCAGACGAGCTTAAAGGGACCCATTCTGGAAGATAGAGGTTAGTTCGTGAGTAGTTCATGTTCTAGTTCATCAGTAGTTCGTATTGAGAGTATTGAGTTGTCCTTTAGTTGTTTTTAGTAGCAGTCTTTAAGAGTTAGTTAGAGTTGAAATTAAGTCAAATCCAGTCCCTAGTCTGTAGTAAATTTAGAAGCCGAAATACTTTCCATTGTAGTAGAGACTTGTGACTCTACAATTCTTTTTCTTACTCGAACTGTTTCGCGCGATTGTCATTTAACACCTTAACCATTTGACTGCCACGCCGAAATCACATGTTTCGCTCAGGACGAGAGTATTTTTATTATCCAAAGCATATAATGGGAAAATAATAATAAATTGGTGATACAAGACAACATTCTTACCCAATGGAGCGTTTGTCTTATTGGCGGTCACGGGTGAGCACCAGTGGCGCCTTGGTAACAGTTGACAATCGACTGACTCAATTTTGATTCAATTTTTACAATTGTAAGTAGTTCAAGCGCTCCGGTCACCAATGACCACCGTGGCATCACAGGAGATACAGTGTTTAGTGAGTTTACAGTGAATTTTTAATATTTGCCTATTTCCTGCTTGTTCATGCAATCGATCTTTCCAACCATGTGCCTCCAATCTATCGCAGATTAAACATTTATGCAATGACCACTGGTAAACTATGAATCATTCATTTTTTCTTCCTCTTACCAGATGTGTAAACCTGTACGTATTTCCACGAAAAAATTAGTATTCGTACGATATTTGGCAACCATACAGTATCTTATAAATTTTAAATAGTACAATTTAAAAGTATATTTTCTAAATACTATTCGAAATATCACCTCGAAGCAGTAATATTTTTATAATACTCGTTTTTTGAGTATTACGTTTGAGACTTTTCGAAATATTTAAACTGTACCTGTTTTGTTAAGAAATAGTGTAGGATAACATTTCGGAAAGAAATCGCGAATCGGCCATTGCCAACGAAAACAAATTATAAACCGATCAATATTTTCTAGAAGCAAATGGAAAAGTTATTTTGGGTAGCAAAATCAAGTTGCGTGGTCCCTGCGGGAAGGTGAAGCGTATATTAAGAAAAGCATAAAAGCAGGGCCCTTGACGACCAAAACAGAGTCCTTAGAAATTAATTGTGACCAGCACGAGCGTGAGTCACTTGGTGTTGGAAAGAGAGTTAAATTAGAATGCGTCTTTGTGTGTTTTCGTTTCGTTATCTTGGTGTTCTTTTACTAAGTTAAATTAATTTTATGAGTTTTGAGTTTGTGTTATTCGGTTCTTGTTCTGTCATTTTTTTGGTGTCTCGAAACCAGTTTTCGCCAGCCTACAATAGTAATAAATTAATTTTTTAATTCGAATCGTATTATTTTTTATTTATGGTTGTATATAAATTTCTGTAATCCTAATTCTAATCTGTAATCTTAACTAATCTGATCTCTGTAATAAAACTTGTTGCATACATATTTCACGATGGAAAATGAAGGAATAAAAATTTGGAATCATTTTAAATCGAAAGGATTAAAGGAATTAAAGTGTTTCACAGTTCCTAGTGTACTTATACGATACATACCTTTTTTACAACTGAAATCTTGTTAAAACAAGATGAAAACAAGGTAAAAAAGAAATAAGAAATTTTAGATCTTCGACACTTTATATAGATCATGAAATTCAATAAAAAGTGACTATAAGCCTTTGAAAAGCTGTTTGTTGAGCTCAGTAAGATAGAACTCTTAAGAATGTTTGTTCCTGCACTTTCATCAGCTATGTTCATGAAACTGAAGAATTTTGCACTTCTTCCTTTAGTATACTTTCGATCTGAGGTAAAGAATTCTTCAACCATGCTGTCACGAAGTTTCCATTTGCCTCGACAAGGGCAGCAGCATACCTTGTGCCCTTCATGCTATCGTAGTTGCTCTCCCTGAATATTTGAAGCTGTGAAATAATTTAAAAATGCAAAATATCACATACCGAAATATGAAGCACAAAATATTAACAATAAATTCTAATATATAAAATACGAGATACTGAGATATAATTAAAATATAAAATAATAAATATTTAAATATATAATATAAAATTTTTAATTCTAAGATATAAGGTATAAAATAATAAATACTGAAATATTAAGCATAAAATACTAAATATTAACCCTTTGCACTCGGCGAATTTTTCGTTAGAGAAAAATAGTAATTCGAAGACTTTCTGACATAAAGTCGACGACATTTTTAAAACGGCAAATAAGAAATCGTATGTAAATTAGGACGTAAAATTATATTGCTTCGATATTTCAAGCATCGTTGGGTAATTGTAAATTTGATATATTAATTAACGTCCATCTTTAGAATCTGATTAAATGGCGACTAAGAGGCGCCTCTCCAGTGCAAAGGGTTAAATACTGAAATGCTGAACAAAGTACTACAGTATTAAATATATGTAAAATAATGAATGATTAATAATTTCTTACGTCTTCCAAATCCTGTTCCGTGGTTAGACCATTTACCATAGACAACACGAAAGATTTGAGTACCGAATAAGATCCAGAGAATCTAAATCAAAGTCGAAGAGGGGTGAATTTTATTACCATATTTCTTCTTTCACGCAGAATCTTTTACAAAAGTATTTAAGGTACCTCTGCGCAATTTCCTGCCAATTTGCACGAACGAATCGCGATGCAACTTGCGCCGCGGCTGGATTTTGTGGAAATGCTTTTAAAATCACTGATATTTCATCCTCTTGGAATCGTTCTTCGTGAAGTATCTCGCTCAGGATGCTGTTGTCGAAGAGAAATACAAACAGTGTCACAAGTCACGTTGAAAACTGTGCACTTTTCAAAATTTCGAAAATGTCCATTTCATAGACATGTATAAAATTTTAAATGTCTCGTGATTTATAAATATATTTCTGAAAATTAGTCTATATCAATTTTTATAAAAATATACAAGTATCTTCTACTATATTAATTTGATGCAAAGATATCAGTTTCATTTATGTATATTTTTAAATGTAGAATTATATGAAATGTGATTACATTAAATTATAGTAATCGAATGTTGTACTCAAAAGCTGTTATAATTGTCATTTTAATATGTTAATGATGATAAACTGTATTACCTATTTTATTACTTATTAATTTCTCTCTTTAATTTCAGGTCTCTTTTATTTTTGAAACTTAATACTTATTAAGAACTATTAATTTTTTATTCTACCAAGAAATTGTATTTAGTATTACTGCTATTGACTTAACGTAACAACGTTCTCTAAATCAAAGATAAATTTAAAACAATAAATAAATGAATTTTATCTACAGAAAATAAATCAAGTGTGCTTTATATAATTTACTTTTTCAGTAACTGTTACTAATATCTAGCTTTCAAGAGAAATATTGCATTCGGTATTAAAAAATAAAATAATAAAAATTCATGAGATACCACAGTGTTTGAAAGCAATTGAATATTTTCTATTAAATATATCGAATGATTTCCTTTCCTTAATGTTAATAATTTAATACTATTTTGTAATATAAGCGTGAAAGTTTCAAAAATACAATGAAGTGTCCTCTATAGAAGCAACGTACGTTCACGTGTAGCAATAAAAGTTCGAAAAAGCTCTCCAAAATAAAGTGGAATATTCCCTTACACCACCTCGATTTTACGAACCCTTCTGGATTTCACCACTTTTTTCTACTCGTTGTTAGAGAGCGTAAAGTGTACTCATTTTAACAGCTCGTAGAATTTTACAGTGAAATTTTTAAAACATTTGATATATTAGAGATTAATTTAAAAATTAATCAAATATAATAAGATCGAAGAATATAATTTATCGATTTTTATAAAATTATCCTACTAGGTGAAATCATGAAACAAGCTCGTGAACTTCCTTGAAAACGTAACTGAAATTAATAATTATATGAAAATAAAATATCTTGGAAAATTATTAATTTTTCATAGATATATCTAAAGATAACTTAAACTTGATAAATGAAATTTATATTACGTGTCATTTTTATAACTTTTTAAAGGTAAACTAAGTTAGTATAGTATATAAGTTAGTATAATATACAAAGTAGAAAAGATAACTGAAGACAGAAATTAATATCAGTTAATAGTTTTAAAAATTTATAAAATAAATTTGACAGATATTCAAATTTCATGTATTTGGCATAATATATAGAAAGTACACATAATATTATAAATTCGTACCTTCTACTAACTACGTTGCAAATCACCTTTAAAAAATTATTGTAATTACATCTACAATATAAACATCAAACTATACATATACAAATATACACAAGTATGTAAAAAATATTTATGGAAATATTTATAGAAAAAACAAGTATGAAAGTACTATGGAAAAAATATTTATAAACACTAATATTTTTTCATAAATATGTTATAAACTTCTGAATATAAAAAATAAATAAATAAAAAATAAATAAAAGGAATAACAATATTAAAAATAAATGAAGAAATTAAGGCATACGATATTAAGGTGTAAAAGAAGTTAAAATTATATGAAGTAAATGATAAGATACTTTAAAACGTGGGTTCAATTACGTAATGAAAACGCAAAAATTGCAGAAAAGATACATGGAAGCACATGATACCGATACAAAGGGTAGATCACTGCAAAACGATTTCACTTACGATTGTAAAATCCAAGGAGCCTGGAAGCAAGCGAAGGATGATAACAGACGTTTTCTTTCCTCCTCATCTTCGGTGAACGTTACTTTTTCCGTGAAGTAATTCCATTCCTTTCGGCTGCCATAACGCGCGATAGTACAATACAACGTTCCACGGATGTAAGAAGGGACACTGTAACAATTCAATTCGCAGTAACATCCTCGAAAAATTTGAAATGACAAAAAGTTAGAAATTTAAATAAACAATTATAATTATACTCGAAAGTATACATATGTACAGTATAATTATATCGAAATCGTAATGACATCGAAACTTACATTTCATGGGTTTCATTATGGCTCATAGCGTTTTGGAATGCATTTTTCGACCAGTTTAAGCACTCAACATGCTCAAATTCGCATGCTAGTTCTATAGCAATCATTGTCAGGTGTGACCCTTCCTCCACCATTGATCCCACTTCGCTGTACAATGGAGATACGAATCTCGCTATAAATTCCTAAAATTTTATAGAAACATAAGTATGAGTACGTAATGAATTAATTTCTTAACATAGATCTTAACTTTGTGCTACTGAATTTCCTCTTTAAAAAAGAAAAGTCTAATTATTACACTGAGAAAATTGTAATAGATTCTTTGATGCAAAACATATGTAATTTAAAGCTGCAATTTTAAATATATCATAAATTCCTTTGTTATATAATTAATACAATTGAAACTAATTGACAGAAATTAATATCAGTTAATAGTTTTAAAAATTTATAAAATAAATTTGACAGATATTCAAATTTCATGTATTTGGCATAATATATAGAAAGTACACATAATATTATAAATTCGTACCTTCTACTAACTACGTTACAAATCACCTTTAAAAAATTATTGTAATTACATCTACAATATAAACATCAAACTATACATATACAAATATACACAAGTATGTAAAAAATATTTATGGAAATATTTATAGAAAAAACAAGTATGAAAGTACTATGGAAAAAATATTTATAAACACTAATATTTTTTCATAAATATGTTATAAACTTCTGAATATAAAAAATAAATAAATAAAAAATAAATAAAAGGAGTAGCAATATTAAAAATAAATGAAGAAATTAAGGCATACGATATTAAGGTGTAAAAGAAGTTAAAATTATATGAAGTAAATGATAAGATACTTTAAAACGTGGGTTCAATTACGTAATGAAAACGCAAAAATTGCAGAAAAGATACATGGAAGCACATGATACCGATACAAAGGGTAGATCACTGCAAAACGATTTCACTTACGATTGTAAAATCCAAGGAGCCTGGAAGCAAGCGAAGGATGATAACAGACGTTTTCTTTCCTCCTCATCTTCGGTGAACGTTACTTTTTCCGTGAAGTAATTCCATTCCTTTCGGCTGCCATAACGCGCGATAGTACAATACAACGTTCCACGGATGTAAGAAGGGACACTGTAACAATTCAATTCGCAGTAACATCCTCGAAAAATTTGAAATGACAAAAAGTTAGAAATTTAAATAAACAATTATAATTATACTCGAAAGTATACATATGTACAGTATAATTATATCGAAATCGTAATGACATCGAAACTTACATTTCATGGGTTTCATTATGGCTCATAGCGTTTTGGAATGCATTTTTCGACCAGTTTAAGCACTCAACATGCTCAAATTCGCATGCTAGTTCTATAGCAATCATTGTCAGGTGTGACCCTTCCTCCACCATTGATCCCACTTCGCTGTACAATGGAGATACGAATCTCGCTATAAATTCCTAAAATTTTATAGAAACATAAGTATGAGTACGTAATGAATTAATTTCTTAACATAGATCTTAACTTTGTGCTACTGAATTTCCTCTTTAAAAAAGAAAAGTCTAATTATTACACTGAGAAAATTGTAATAGATTCTTTGATGCAAAACATATGTAATTTAAAGCTGCAATTTTAAATATATCATAAATTCCTTTGTTATATAATTAATACAATTGAAACTAATTATTTATATTTAGCCGTATTATTAATATAACTTGAACTGTATTATTAAATGATATTAAAACTTATTTCTAATATAATTAATATAATTAAAATATTATAAATTATTTGATTACATTACAGACATATGGTTATAGGTTTTTATCACGTTACAATTATGTTATTCACTTGCAAATCGTTGAAGAAATAAAATATATTTAATTAATTAATATTTACGTAAAACAGTATACACAAAATTATAGTTAAAATATTATACATATTTAACTGTTATGTATTATAAATATTATACGATGTATTATGTAAATAAATCGGTAATATTACTCACTTGAAAATCAGTGAAGATCGGAGTTTCGTATAAAAGCCTGTTTATCTTGAACATGTGTCGCATAAACGCGGCCCAAGGTAGATAATGCCTCTCCTTCATTTGCATATATTTAATAAAGTCAAAGGTAGTCTCGTATTTCATCAAGCCTATGGCAGTTAGGCTAAAAATGTCGTCTATAAGTGATGCTCTCGTTTCGGGCGGAAACAACTCGGGATTTTCCCTCAGTGCCAATTTTAACAGCATCCAATTTCTTTCGTCGTAATGCACTCGATAATAACCTTGAATAATATTAATAATTGCTTTGCATTACTTTGCAAGATGTTTTTTATTACGAGGTGAGAAAATGAAAAAGATATGTAAGAAATACATATGCATATAATTAAAAAATACTTCAGGTATGTTTCAACCAAGTTCAACTGCTTCAGAGCTACATAATTTGATGCGAATAAACTTTCTGTAATTACAATGTATACGTGGAGGACAGATGAAGTTTAATTTTATTTTCTTAAATAAAATTATTTTTTTTTTTAATGCATTATGTATTTCATATTTTGTATATTATTTTAATAAATATATAATTAAAAAAAAATATACAACTATTGGTACAAATTAATGTAATTTGCAATTCTACCTAAAATATAATAAACTATATATGGCAAGGAATCGATACTTTAGAAGATATTTTAAATTTAATACCAAACAGCAATGCTTAATTGTAATACTCATATTGATACTGTGTACCGATGTGTTCTTACAAATTATCAATAAAACAGTTCAATTAAAATATTTTTGAAAAAGAAAATTATCGAGAATTATCGAGAAAATTACAAGGGCGAAGATATAAAATTGTTAGTACTATTTAGCATTTGAATATTCAATAATTATATACAGTGTCATTATTTCAGCAAATATAATTAGTATAATGAATATAATTTGGCACTTACCAGTCTTGTTTACATTGAAAAGTACCCAAGATTCATTGCAACCAACATCATACAAAGTGATCTTAGGATGAGCTGGGAACCATATTTTTGTTGGAGACGACCAATTGCCATTTTTGTTCATAAAATTTAGCGGAATATACAAAAATTTGGACACACTTTCTTGAGGCCTATCGAGTGCAAATTGTTCCTAAAACAATTAATTCAACACTAATTTCTTTCATCTTATTAAAGATAATAAATTAAATCCCACTTTTATGGTGTAGGTACTATAGCTAGTAGCATTATAATATTTAACAATATTAACATAGAATCTAATTTACACTTTTTAATTTTTCTTTTCTTTTCTCCTAAGACAATTTGAATTGAAAACTATACAGTTATATTTAATATTACAATTTTATAGTGCGTTTCACTATTATCTTTTCCAATCGTGTGTATGTAATGATTTTCGGATTGCTATAAAAGAAATTATATATTATTATGCATAATTATCAATACATAGATTCTGTACTAATATTGCTATATAAAATCTCACATTTTCTAACAATAATATAATATTTGATCTCTTTATATATTTATTTTGAAATTTATAGAAATTCTCTACCACGCTTCCGCCTATTATTTATTCTATAAATTCTTAAAGATCGTATAATAATAAACTCTAATGCAAAACATTATTAAAATTATTGTTATTATATTCAAACTTATTTATTCTATGAATTCTTAAAAATCAAACAACCGTAAAAATTGACTAATGTAAAAGTGACATTATTGAAAATACAGTTACCTGATAAATGATGGCAGATTCCTCTTCGTAATTTCTTATTACAGTTACAAGTGGATATCCACCTTGCGAGATCCAAGAATTCATCGTTTCTTTCAATGAAAATCCAGACGGAAGTTCAGTCGCTTCTTCCTCCAGAATATTCATGAAATCAGCTACATCCGTGCTGTTGTACTTCCTGATTAAATAATAAAACTTCCCTTATTATATTAAAACTTATTAATTAACCAATTATCTCGAAACGGTAAATTAATTCGTCACTAGGATTATCGATACCTTAAATGTATCTAATATTTGTAATTATTAAATAGATCCTGTCAAGTTCAATATTTTCTTGTCAATTTTGAATTCTATTATCTAATGGAACCCTTGACTACAAAATAACTTAGGACACCGATTGAAAAACTAAAGATGAAATGATCACATATTCGATTACCGTAATTATACAAAATAAGCCTTATGACTTATTACACAGATCAACGAAAGGTATTTCCTAAGTATATATTTATATACAATATATTAATTCTTTGTTAGTTAACTATTGGTTCCATCATCGTGTTGATTATGGCAATTGGTAATGGTTGAATTGTTATTTGGTTTTATATAAAAATAAAAAATAAATGGACAAATTATGATAAAAAGTGGAATTTTTCATTGGACAGAGAAATTTAGAACTTTCTCTCTTCCTAAAATAAAATTTATGGTCTCAGAAAGTTTTTATTACATTTCACTATACTAATATACCGAGGTACACAGACAATTTCACCAAAGAATTTTCGGATTGCAAAGGATTAATATATACATCCTACGTATATCTCTCGTATTTGGAGATATACATATATCTCTAAATACTTTCTAACACGTACACACTAGATATCAACAAGAAAAAAAGCACAGTGGTGCCATAATACACCATGCAGGAATATAAAAAAGAAAAAGAGACAAATAGAAAAAAAAAAAAAAAGAAAAACAGAAGAGAATAAATCTTAATAATCCTGCAATAGGCGATTAATCACAATTAATATGTAGACGGGTCGATTATCGTCGCAACTTAATTTCCAAGTTTCTCGGGTGTCAATTCTTATGAAATGGCGATTAATTAAAACGGTGGCCGTTGAAGCAGTACGCCATTGTAGGCACAAAACATTTTCTCGCGAATAATATACCCACCACCTGGTTATCAGTTTCTTGTAGCTGTTCCTAAAGGCGGTATCACTTATCGCACCATGCAACATGCGTATCAGACATGCACCTACAAGAAGCAATTAAAAATGCAAAAACATTTTCGCCCACCAGCGATATCCTGAAACCTAAGACTAACGATAAGCTGGATTACCGGTTTACCTTTCGCGTGTTCGTCGTTAAGAGACTGCAACAGACGATAATTGACATTCTCGTGGAGGGGCCTTGAGATGCTGTAACCGTCTATCTCCAGCAGTCGTAGCTGAACATCGATGATGAAAGAGTCGCTCGAGTTGGATGACGAGTCTATCTGAAAATGGAATTTTATTACAACGGTTTACGACGTTGTCTTCGTTTCCACGGTTTCTACGCGAATTCAGTTGCTTGCCTTCCGAACGATCTCGTGTCCGATGTAAATCAACAGACTCTCGAAGAACCACGCGTCTGTCCGGTTCGCGTTCATAAACTCGTCGAGCCACTGCTGGCCTATCAGGGTAGCCAGGACCTTCAGAGCGTTGTGCCTTGTTACTATAGGGGAGCTGTTAGTGGCGTAGAACAACGATTGCCTGAAAAATTTGGACAGTATGGATTAGATCGTACGAGCTCGGATCAGATCTGTCGATGAGAGGTTCTAGGGAGTGAACAGTTTAGGGGATGTTGTAGAAATGGACTTGGAGATTAACTCTTTGCACTCGGTAGAGAAAAACAGAGTTTCGAAGATTCTTTGATATAAAGTGGGCGATCTGTGTAAATTAACATGTAGAATTGTTTTATTTCAATATTTTACGCATTGTTACGTTATTTTAAATTCAATATGTCAATTTATGTCGATCTTTAGAATTTTATTAAATGACGAGTGCAATTTCGAGTGCAAAGGGTTATAGTAAGATACGATGAAGTGATTGGAAAAAATTCGGATAATACAATAGTGCAAATAGTACAATAGTACAAATAAACTGGTTTTGATTCTTATTTATTATCGTTGTTGTTGCCATCGCCACCGTCGTTGTTATTGTTATTGTTGTTGTGGTCGCTGTTATTAGTATTGTTGCTGTCGTCGTTGTTATCATTATTGTTGTTATTGCTGTTGCTGTTGTTGTCGACATAGTAGTTGTTATTATTGTTATTGCTGCTGTCATTATTGTCGTCGTCGTTGTTGTTGTCTAATTAGTATGCTTATTATTATTATATTTTTTGCATTGTATTAAATAAGCTCATTCTAGGTCTTATTACTTATTGTTTTAATATTTATTGTTAGTATTATTATTGTTATGATTATATAATTATTATGTTTACTATTATTATGTGATTATGAAGTTTATTGTTATTATTGTATTTATTACCATTATAATATTTATTATTGCTGTACTTAATTATAAATCAAACGTAACGTAAAGCACATCTATTAGCGAAAAGTAATAATGACTCTTACTTCATCATAATTAATCCTGGACTACCCATGTTCTCGTCGATCCCCGGAGGCAAGCCTACTAGATCCAACTTAGGCAAGGGATAAGACATAAAAAAGACGTCGATCAAATTAATAACGACTTGGCTGAGTTTGTCAAACAGATAAATCTCTTCTGAGCTTCTGTTCGAATTGGACCAGAACGTCGCTACCATTTCGGTGTCCCCTACAATTGTCGTCTTCATACTCTCCACATGGCCCATAACGAAAGCGAAATTATGCGGTGACAGAGGCGGAGAATCGTCGAATCTGTCGACTATCATTGAATTGTTCCAGCTTGAAACAATAAAGCACGATTATACTGGTATTTATTTTCCTCCTCCTTTTCCCCTTTCTTTATTCTCCCCTCAATTAAAAAGCACACAGGATATTCGTAAATCTCGATACAAATTTTCGCTACGTCGTTCTTCTCTGCTTCTCGATTTGTAGAACTGACCAATTTTATGATAAACGTGGAAATAAATATATGCATGTATAGTATAGAATTATCAGAATTGTTCGGTTTAAATATTCTACGATTCATATACGATGAAAAGAATTTTAAGAGAAAACTGTCGCAATTTTTTTAATTTCTTGAAAATTTTCTAGTATCAAAGTAAAAAGATGGAGTGAAATTATGAATGAAGCGAAATATCCGAAATGGAACGGAGATTCAGCTTCGATGTGTCCTCAGACACGATCAGTTTCATTGAAAAGTGGGTCTTGCGGAAAGACATGGCATGAATTACTTACGCATCCCATAAACTCCTGGGGGGCATATTCGAGAGGACTGTCATTTCTTTGGGACGTGCCACGAATACGGAGAAAACCGACTTGTGTACCGTATCGTCGAAAACCGGGAAGAGACAACGAGCACCGGAACGTTTCAATTTCGTGCCCATTAGCCATCTGACATGAAAACACCGAATATCGTATACAGTTTCTGAAACCACTTTTGCTTGCAAATCTTTCCAATACCAAAGATCATGAAAGATTCATATAATTCGTAATATTCATTCCTTATTTTACACTGCTACTTTGAGTTATTTTACACTAGAATTAAGTTTCACGTGTTTTATTTTTATAATCTCCAAAAACTAGCTATTTTCAACAAAATTAACGCAAACTTTTATTTGAGTGGAAACTAATTATGTTATAGTTATTTGTTTTTAACGTAGCGATAAATATTATTATCATTTGTGCATAATATATTTAAATGTTCATTACAGGTTGGTAGTTTTGTATTAACTGATATATGAAGAGGTTTAACGTGTAATTAACTGCTTTTCAATTGTAATGAATTATAAATAGTATCGATTAATGTTGAAAGCAATCATTTTGGCTGGTTCAATGACTCTGATGTTGAAGAGTGGCAAATAATTTAAAAAATAAAATTTTATAAGAAAACAGTGACATGATGTTATAATAATTAATATCTTTGGTATATTCCAGCGGACATAGAATTTAAAAATTATTTTCCCATAAAGTGTGACTGACTATATTCCAAAATTTTCAGAAAAAATTCTATTTTATGTGAAAACGCTTCAAAGATTTTTAAATCTCAAGATCTATAAATGATACATAATAAATGTACAATTTCTAAAGACATAAGTGATTCTTTTTAACCTAATTAATCTTATTAATACGTATACTTAATATGTTTCTGTAAAAGTCTTGGCTAATTGTAAAATCTTTCAATCTGAAAATCAAATCCACTAGAAAGTCTTATTTCCGGGAATGAAATTATATTTATGAGTATAGAAACTACATTTCTGCTCTGTAAATTGCAAATATGAATAAATAAGAAAATCTAATCGCAACCGACATAGTGCTTCTTCTCAATACATCTTCAAAAGTACAGAATCTACTGCCATAGCCGTGACATAATTTCCGTATACTCTGTACACTCAGGATTCTTCTACCCCCTTAGGGTCTGACCCTCCCATTGATCTCTACTCCTAGCTCGCTGGCTATTGAACTTCTTTACCCTTTCATTTCGAAGAATGTATATACATATAAATTTTCGAAAAATGTATAAGAAATAGACATTTATATCACATATATTATAATGCAAATATCATATACACATACCATACATACATATATATATAGTATATACTTTTATATCACAAACAATACTATATATATTACGTATGAATTCCGTATGTATTATGTATGTATATTATATATGTATAGAACATATAAATTACACACTGCAATGTATAATTATTATACATTATATACAGGGTGGTTCAGAATGAACTATGCGACTTGACAAATAAAATATATATCTATGTACATACACATTTATTGTAAATTTTATTCCATTTGATTATTATTTTATTTCTTTATAGTGTAAGTACATCCTTATTGAATTATCTATTTATAAACATATAAATATATTTTAAAAAATATTATATCGATTTTATATGATAAGAAGATTTGAAAAATATTATTTTCTTTGATCTACAGTTCTTAAGAACCCGGAAACTTTTTGTATTTTTCAGACATTGCTATATTTACTAATTATGAAGGTTTAAGAAAAATATGTTTTAGAAAATATTATGTCAATTTTATATGAGAAGACAATTTGAAAAATATCATTTTCTTTGATCTGCAATTCTTAAGAAATCGGAACCTTTTTGTATTTTTCAGGCATTGCTATATATTTATTAGAATATTTCATACTACTCTCGGCAACGTAAAACTCTTCATAAAAAAGATATAAAAATTTTAAAGTAGTAGAAAACTACTTAAAATTAATAAATAGATGATATTTAAAGAAATAAGAACAACGTGCATGTAAAACTTACTTTTTCTCGCCAGACGTGCTGTAATTTCCAATAAAAAATACATTTTCATCGATTATGGTCTCGTATTCGATTTCCAATGAATAGAGTCCTCGTTGTATCCGAGATTCCAGGAGGATCGTGTGAAGTTCTTTATCCTCGTCCACATTGTATTCCGTAATCCGGATATTCGATAAATCATTTTCTGAAGATCCATCATGCGTTGTAGATCCCAATTGTTTATTATCCACGTTTGAACCTCTAACTTGGTCAGTGTTGGAAATCGAAGCGTAATTTACCAAAGAAACCTTGGATCTTTCAACAGACGACATGTCGTCCGTTGGAAATTTATTCTTTTCGAACAGCACTGCCTCATTTTCCGTCAATGTTACCATAACGTCATTTTCTATGGAATACACGGTGCGGGGAACTGGAAATAAATGAGTTACTTGTATGCATGCATGAATTTATTATAGAATTTAATCTTTACGCTTTATATTCAGGATATATTTTAATACTTTTTCTTGTAATAAAATTACCGAAGATTAAATATATTTGTATAACAGAGTAAATATTACAGATATATTGAAATATAATCAAAACTCCGCGAAGTAGAAAGTAAAATTAAAGTAAAACAACTTTTAACTAACTTTTAATACAAAAATCTAGTAATTAAAGTTATAGTTTTATAGTAATTTATATAGTAATTTTGGAAACTTGATAAAGGAAATAAAATAGACGATATTTTTATTTGAGAAGGACGTAATAAGAAATACAATAAAATAATATAATACGAAATTTCGTAATTAAATTTTATATCGTAAATGTAGAAATTTAATGAAAATTGGGATGAAATAAAACAGAAAAACCGATACCTTTGTGTGAGAATAACGTATGAGAATCAAAAAGATAAAATTACTAAATTAAAAATGTAGTAATTACATTTTCGATATTAAGTCCAGAAATTTAATGAAAAAATAAAATAAAATAAAATAAATGAAGCTGATATTTTTCAATAGAAGTAACGCAATAACAATTTAAATATCCTTCTCTGTTATACGTTCTTTGATATAAAAATAGTTAACAATGTATTTTTTAATTGTACTCGATATTCGTTAAAAATAAAAACGATTCGAAGAAATGAAATATCTGTAACTGACTCCAATAAAAACATAAAAAATTTGTATCCCAATATGTAACGAAATTATTACGTTACAAAATTCACGGAACGATGAATTTACGTATTTTAACCGCGATATTTTTATAAATAAATTAAAACTGGTAAAGATATTAAAATAACATTACCAAATTGAATCTCTGCACTCGTAGATTTTTTTCAATAATATAACTTGTAATAATTTTCAAATTGACAATAAATTTCGATAAAGGATTTTGCAGTAATTAGAATAAAAGTTGAGACAGTTAACAACAAGATTAAATGCAACAAATAAGTTCCATATAGCCTTTTACAGTAATTAGAAAAAAATTATGACAGTTGTTGGAACGAACATAAGAAATTTATGACGTGGCCTGAAAGAGTCTAGATGTAGTGGCAGAGTTTTTCCAACTAAGGAAGAAAACCTAAAAATCCTGGGTTAGTTGTCAAGAAGAAACGTACCCTGTGACATTCTTTCTTACTGACATAATTTATTTTTACATTAATATATATTATATATTTTAGAACAAAGGTGACCACGCAAGAGGATCGAATGGATGTGTATGTCAGAGCCTAATGCGATAGACGAGCGGAAGTTAGTTTATGAGTGCGGAGTGTGTTTTAAGTAGCTAGTCCAACGTGATTGCGGGGAAAGAGGCATGACTGGAAAGGAAAGCCTAAGTGTGAAAAGGGACAGAATGAATGGTTTAAATAAGGGTGCAAGGGCGCAGGCGAGTCAGAGTGTGTAAGAAGTGCAAGTCAGTCAAATAGTTCAGTTTAACAAGAACAGTGTAAGTCAAATCGGGTCACCGATTTGGTTCAAATTTTATAAGTTTATAGATCTTATCAGGCAGTTTAAGAAAATATATCATTATAAGAGCAACTACTCAGTAGTTTTTGAGATATTTATGATTAAAGTTTTATTACTAAGTTAATTATAGATTTATTTCTACCACTGTCAAAGTGGCGTGGTGACGTAGCGGCGACAGTCAAGAATTCCTATAAAGCAGTTTTTTTCAATCTATTTTCTATTTTGTATTCATTTTTCAAATATGAAAACATTGTAAATAAAAAATTGTAAATAAAATTTCTTAATAAAAAATTTATTTTTTACGCTTTTTTATGCTAGTATATATTTGTTACAAAATAATAAGAATATTATGCCAGAAAAACACTTTTTTATAGCAATCTTATTTACTAGTAACTAATTATTAAATTAAACATTGTATAAGAATGTTGCCTATAATTCCAACTTTGCCGTGTAGCTATAAATATTCATAAATTAATTACAGAAACTTGGAAATTTATTAATTTTCTACTGCCGAATAAATACAAATTTTACCGCCTGCGATCAGCACCATCTATGATTTGGGCTCAAAAATCAAGAAAGTGATAGGAATATAGAATGCACAAGGAGGTCGACGAAGTGCTGGTCACGTGATAAACAAGGACAGAGAGGGGATAGAAAAGGATAGAATGGCTCCGATAGTGAAAAATTATTAATTACTCAATTTCCGTAAACAATTTATTTAATACTAAACGAAACTAGAATCAAAATGTGATCAAAAGTTATATGAGAAGATTCGCAAGAACATTGTTTTTATAATGAGTGCATAAAGTTTCATAAATTAATTGCGTAAAGGATAGTAATTAATGAAAAACCAATGGCGTCTTCGATAATCTTCAACAACAATTCAAACACTGCGCAGAGCAATTATTAATAATTAATTAATTAGGGACAAATTTATATCGAAAAGTATATTGGAAAGTTCTTGAAGGATCTGCCTTTAAGATGCAATTATAAAAGTTCATAAATTAATCACAGATATTGAGTAATTTGCGAATTTTCCACTGCAGAAATGGTTTATTAGGTAGTGTCAGGAGCACATAACCAGAGTTAGTAATCTAGTAAATTGAAGTCAGTGCCATCTTTAAGTTTGGACTCGAACCTCAGGTTCAGCAAGATGAACACAGATGGCGACAGGAGAGTGCTTGAAACCACATTACGTGATGGCGGAATAAAGAAAACAATAAAATGACATAAATAACTAACATACATTCTCTTTCCTTGTTTTTATTCACTTGAGAACCCCATAACGATTTCTACATTCTTTAATAAGTTCAGCCCAAGGAATGGTTTTAATTGGACAATCAGCATTCGCTTCTTTACCTGGCAGACGAGAAATCTGCAATGGTACGTGTGTCAATACAATGATAAAAGCTCCTGTATTAATCACGGAAATTCAGTAATTTGTTAATTTTTCTCCAAGAGAACAGGAGAGTGCATAGAAAATGGGAAAAGAATTGCAAGAAAACGCAAGAAGCATTGTTGTGTCCATGGAGGTATACCTGCATCAAGCAAAAGAATGTAAGTTTTTGTATTAACATAACCTTAAGTTGTAATTAAGTAGTGTAACATATAAACCATTGTTTTTCTATGTTTTATTAGTGATAGCAGAGCCTGGTTTTAAAAGGACAATATTCCGTTGAAGTAGATGGACACGTACAACAGGGGAAAAATATTGAACTCGTGAAATATCACCAGCATACAGTCATTAGATGCCACTAATTATTTTTTATGCGACGAAAATATTGAAACAGTAATAATACCAGCGTAGAGTCATTAGATGCCACTAATTATTTTTTATGCGACGAAAATATTGAAACAGTAATAGAAATATGTAAGGTATGATATATCTATCGGATTTTAGTTTGGCTAGCCATGTGACATACAAGACAGAAATATTTGATGGCAAAATGAAGATTTAGAAAATGGAGATGGTATTGGCACACAAAAGGAAATAAAATTAATTTAGATGATGGCCTGTTATAACAACAAGATATAGAGAATACAGTAGGATCGGAAGGTATGTTGTATTCCTGTATTGTATGAATATTAATATCAGTGGTCGAAGTCACTGATCAATATGAATGCATTAAGTTTCAGAATGCTTGAACCATGGTATATAAAGACAAGAAAAAAGTTCAAATGAAAACAGTGAGGAAAGAAATTGCTTATTATCTGGAATCTGGAAATAGAAAGGAGGCAGCACATGTATCAACATAGTTTGATGTATGGTTTCCATATACAAATATGAGGACCATTGAAGAGATGAAGAATGAGCATTTGGTAATAGTTATAAAAGTTAAAGATAAATCGAATGTAGAGTGTGAATATTGCATTAAGGCACAAATGTGTAGAAATATCTCTAGGAACTTGGAACTTAACTTTAAAAAGCAGCAGGAATAATGGGGCTGTGGCACATGGAATTGATTGGGCCAGTGAAGCCAACGTTAAAAGGAGATAAAGGTATGTCTTATTTGCTGATGATTATTCGAGAAAAGAACCATTTGATTGACTAATTTATAAATGACTAAAAATTTAATATGAAATATTATTGACAAAGGATTTTTTTTATTATAGGAAACTTACAGACATGAGTAATATTTATATGCAAGTGCCAGCCACTAAGGGTAAAGTACTAAGTATTAGTTAATAATATTTCAATGAATTGTATCTGTTTTTTAAAAATTTAACCGATATACAATATTTACTTTCTAAACTTCTATATTAATATATTAAATAATTTCTAATTTGAATTACAATAATAAATAATACATTTTAATAAATTTGATTTTAAAGGTATTTCACATTAATAAAATTAATATATTTGTTGTAGCTCGGTTATAATGAAAACAACTGTTGGTGACAGTGAGTTTGAATTACGGGCAAAAGAAACTCCAAGGGCATAAAGAAATTTCATACAATTATGTATGGATGGTTATTGAGATGACAGTATATTTCATACACAAGGTGGTAATCCCACAGGTACAGGAGAAGGTGGTAAAATATATGGAGATTACTGGAGAATCTATATATAGTATGCTTAAACTCGAAGAAGCACTTGTAGATGAGGTAAATTTAATGTTTGCAAGAATATATAACAAGAATTCATATAAATATAATATTTCATCTTTTTTGTAGAATGATAGACCACTTTATCCTCCAAGATTGATGGAAACTATAATATTGAACAATGCATTTTCTGATATTATACCAAGAATAATAGTACAGGTAAGTGAAGTTGTAAAGGACAGTTCAAAAACTAAAACTGCAGCAGTAAAGTAAAAATCATACATGTTTGAAGAATTTAGCCTTGATAGTATTATTCTTTGCAATGAAAAATTTAGTTACAGAAATTTCAATCTTTTATCATTTGAAGAAGAGGCAGAGGAAGATGAAAAAGAATCTGTGAAGAACAATTAAATAAAAAGTTTAGTGGTAAGGGCAAATCAGGTCATAATTATTTAACTCATCCAAAATTAAGCTCACAACCAGCTGTTGAACCACCTTGCAAATAAAAAATGGAAGAAAGACCGCAGTAGAGATTGGGAAAGTTACGAATAAGTAAAAACTCAAGAAGAATTAGAAGTTATAAAGAAAGAGAGTTAATTAATTGTTTACATTATAACTATGTTATAGAAAGTAGGAATTTTTAGTAACTGTCTTATACTTATATTTTCAGTGCGATGAAGGAAAGGATAAAAAATAAATTGGTGGATGCAAAGAAGAAACCGAAGATAGTAGAAAATTATAAAATAGATTATGCTGAAGATGATAAAGATATAATGGAAAATGAATAGAGAATAAATGACTCCTTATGAGGTTCAGCACGAAAGAAAACCGAGGAGATGCATGACAAGAGAGATAAATGCAAGATAAATCAATATCTAGAATTATTAGGATAAGTCATGTATTTAAATAGAATTATTTGCGGTAGGGTGTATATGTCTATAAATATTGTGACATTTATATATGGTCATTATAATGATAATTATTACGTGATATTTATTACGAAACATCTGTTTCTCGCAACGGTCCGCGATACGGACATCTACTCAGATTCTAATGTCTATATGTTATTGTTTATTATGTTGTTAACAATTAACGTTTATATGTGAAGCTTTTAAAGTGAATAAAAAGTATCTAAGTATGTAACCATCGTAGTTTCATTTTCGTTTTACCATTAATAAAATCATTCGTCTTCTTCCATGATTTCACGTTCGTCGGGTTATTAATAAAGTAAAGAGGAGGGTGTAAAGTGTGTTATACTTATTTATGTCGTTTTATTGTTTTGATTCTCCCGCCCAATGCGTCACGTGGTTTCTAATTCTGCAACTTCGATCAGCGCCATCTATGATTTGGGCTCAAATGATCAGAAAAGTGATAGGAACATAGAATGCGCAAGGAGGTCGCCGAGGTGCTGGTCACGTGGTAAACAAGAACAGAGAGGGGATAGAAAAGGATAGAATGGCTCCGGCAGTGAAAAATTATTAATTACTCAATTTCCTTAAACAATTTGTGAACTTTTATAATTTCATTGCGAAGCTGGAACTTCAGGCTGCATTCCTATATAATTTTCGTAAAGGATTTAACTGTAAATTGTTAGTTATTAATTTTTGCTTTATGGC